AAAAAAAAAAAAAAAAAAAAAAAAAAAATTACAAGAATCAGCAACAAGACATAAGGCAGCTACTGTTTCCAATATTAATCACTCAACAAAGGGAATGAATGAATTCTAACCTGAGTTATAAAGACCATATCAGATGTCAGCGAGAGTCCTTCAAGCTTTAATTGTGAAATGTATGCTTGCAGCAAAACATTGATCTTGGCACTTGGCTCTTCCAGACTTTCCTTGATGGGAATGGGAACTCGGTCCAAAAGCTTTGCCAGCTCCATCTTCTCATCCTGCCTTACTGTTACATACTTGAACTCTTCACTCAATGAGAACAATCGACATAGCTCTATGTCTCCCATTGTAGGCTTCAAATGCTCGTTATATGTGGATATGGTTCCGTGTGTAATGTAATAGTAACTAGCAATACGACCCAAGTCAGTGACCTGAAAATATCCGCTCTTCCTATCATACTTTACCAAATTATTTCTATCCAAGATGGTTGCAGCTGTATGAATCTGCAAGATTACATCAAGACAGATTAATATTAGCCAATAAATCAAAAAAGGACAGTATGAACAGGCAACATATATCCCAAAATTTCAACATCATTTTAAATCCATTCAAGAACTATATATAATTAGAATTGGTAATTTTCAGACAATGAAGATTTGGTTCCCTTATCATGCAATTCTACAAAAATCATGGTAATGATAAATCAAAAAAGTCACTACACTGGATAATGATCACCAAACAAGAAAAAGGAAAGTAAGTCACCTAATAAATTAAATCAAATGACTACAGACACATCTTGCTTTAGTTCAGATAATTATACAGTGATAAATTAGAATCCCGAGATTCTTACCAAATCAGCCCTCCTTTCTTCCAATGTTATATCCCTTGTAAGGATGTCAGGTGCTATACCATATAGTGAAGGATTCCTCAACATACGGACATACAAGTAAGTGTATCCAAGCCAATTACAGGCTTCCCTAGCATTTTGCACAGTACCGAGAACAATTTCTGCATTCAGCTGATCAGCCAGTTTGGACACAAACTGACTCTCGATAGGAAGTTGTTGGTTCATAAGAGAGAGGTAATACTGCAACTCACTATGACCGGTAACAATTATTCCCTCACCATATGAGTCATACTGGGGCCTTCCAGCACGACCCAGCATCTGCATCACATCAAGAGGACTCAGTTCAGTCCAGGCCCCCTTTTCGGGATTGTAAATCTGCGTCCCTTTAATTATGACTGTATGAGCTGGAAGATTCACACCCCACGCAAGGGTAGCAGTTGATACTAACACTTGCACGTGTCCATCGGCAAAGAGATCCTCAACAAGCTGACGATCTGTCCTGGTCATACCAGCATGATGAATTGCAAAACCATATGGCAGAAGATCTTTAAGATCATTGCTCTTCACAAGATCTGTATGAGTATGAAGAATCTCACGGCTAGCACTATCTTCTTTAAGGAACCTACCAAGAGTATCATTTGCAAGAGCAGTATCTCTGATGGCTCTAGCAGTTTTGGCAGTTTCTTTCCTTGAATGTACAAAGATAAGAACCTGATGTTTTCCGGCCACAGCCATAACTTTCTCGTAGCAGATATCATTCATCAACTGGAACCTCTGAAGTGGCTTCTTCACCGTGATTCCCACATACTGTTGACTAAGAGGAACAGGTCTATAACTATTATCAAAATAAAACAACCCCTTCTTCAAATCAACTCGCAAGAACAGTGCAACATCTTCATAATTAGGAAGAGTAGCAGACAATCCCACCAACCGAATATAGTCCTTTGTTGTTTCAATCTGCCTTACTGTTCTAGCAACAATACTTTCAAGAACAGGTCCTCTGTTATCATGAAGAAGGTGAATCTCATCGATGATAAGAAGCTTTACAAGCTGTGTATAAGTACGGTCTCCTGACTTTCGAGTGATAATATCCCACTTCTCAGGAGTTGTGACAATAATTTGAGTCTCTTCTATTTGCTGCCGGGTTAGTGACTGGTCTCCACTGAGCTCCCTAACTTTAACATCATATTCCTGCAATCTATTGGACAAATTACCAACAACCTCAGCCACAAGAGCTTTCATAGGCGCAACATAAACAATTTTATAAGCACTATGGTCAATCGAACCATCCTCAGGATTCCTGTGCCGTGCAATTTGTTGAAGTATAGTTAACACAGCAACATTAGTTTTTCCAGCCCCAGTTGGAGCACAGAGCAGAAGATTATCAGGCTTGAAGAGGGCCGTCTCATAAACCTTGCTCTGCACCCTATTCAACTGCGTCATTCCTTTAAAAGCTGGTTGTGCCCAATCCGGCATAGATGATATTTTCACAAGCTTCTCATTACTATCAAGCGGTTTGGCCTTCAAGGCGGGCACATGAATCTCTTCATAACCCTTGCTGAGATGTCTATAGGACCCATCCGGTAGGTCACACTTCTTCTTAGCCATGAAAAATCCACCTTGAGCAAAAGCAATGTTATCAAGATCAAGCATCTGCCGCTGACCCTTCAACCATCCACTCTCCCCATCTCTATCAGCCACTCCCCTCCTGCTCCTATCCCTCTCCTTATCCCCATCTCCACCAGTATCATCCTTCAACCTCCTAGCCTCCTCCCTGATGCTCTTCTCCAAGTTCTTCTGCCTCTCCTTTGCAGAGGCCCTCGTAGCATGCAACTGCTCTAAAATCGGCTGCAACTCAGTCCCCTTCATCTCCTCCTCAATCCTCTCCCTCTCCTCTTGATCCTGCGCCCGCGCCAACCGCGTGCACCACACAATCTTCAACCTATTCCTCAACAAAAACTTAATGAGGCTGAACTTATCAAACTCCAGGTGAAACAAAAGCTTGTTCTCCACCTCCCTATCATCCCCCTCAGCCAGAATCTTGAGCACCTCCTCTGCAAGCTTCTGACACTGCTGCGGATCAATCTGCTGCTCAAAAGCCTGGGAGATTTTCCTCTGAAGCCAATACGCATCAATATCCTGCACATTCAAACTCATTCCCTCATTACCCTCTTCCATATCCTCATCATCAATTCCACCACCCATCTGCATACCCCCGGAACCATTCTGCTCCGCGCCATCCTCCTCATCTTCCTCGTCATCCTGAACAATATCCAAATCACTCTCCTCATCATCATCCTCATTCTCCTCAAACTCAACAGCAACACCAACATCATCATCAAGCCCCTCCTCACCATCCAGAGCCGAATTCCCATTGGGAACATCAGTAGCCTCCTGAAAATCAGTAATTAACTTCCCAATCGACACAAGCTGGTCAAAAGCATGGTTAGGTATAGGATTCAGAAGCTTCTCAATGTCCTTCTTCTTGTCAGGATTCTTCACGGCGTCGTTTTTCAGCACGGCGAGGATCTCATCCGCCGCAGCGCTGACAATGCTGAGCGGCTGGCCGCCGAGCTGGTTCTGGATAACACTCAGGAGCGCCTCATAGGCAGCGCGAGTCTCCTTCGTCTTGGGCTGGTAGACGCCGTCGTCGGAGGCGGAGAGGACGCTGTCGTGCTGGAGGCGCCGCCGCTTCGAGGGGACGGAGAGCGCGGCGGCGGCGTCGGCAGCGGCGTCGCGGTCCTTCTTCTTCTTCTTGTTCTTCGCCTTCTCTAGCTTCTCGTCGAGCTCCGGCGGGCGGCCGCGGTAGGCGCGGTCGCCGAAGCTCTTGGGATCGATCTTTCCCCACAGCGACTCGGGCTCGCCGGTGGGCTCGTGCGTGTCGCGGGGGCGCGAGTCGGTGGTGAGGACGAGGCTGGAGTTGGCGCGGTACTCGTACTGCTTGAACCGCGCGTGCGCCTCCGCACCGCCTCCGAGGTGCGCCATTTGCGAAACCCTAGCTGCAAAAACCCTAGCTAAACCTGCACGAGAGGTGAAGAAGAAACGTGAAACGAAACCCTAAACAGCGATTGAAGAACGAAGCGATACGATAGAGTGTTCAGAGAGCGAAGGGTTACGCTGATTTGAAGAAGCGAATGCTTGTGCTGCTACTGAAAACGGTAGTGTTGTTAATGGATTTACGTATCCACGATACGAAGAAGAAAAGAGAGGGAGAGAAATGGATTCAGGGTTGCGAAGACAGAGACAGTAGTAATGTCGTCATGGAAAATGAGGCGGTGCTGTTAATGGGCCTGACCCGACCCGTTTCAACGAGGAGAGGGCCTGGTTTAGGTTCTCAGGCCCGTTTGCATTTGTGTACAAGGATTAATGGGCCCGTTTGGACTTTGACAGAAGCTTTTTGTTTTTCTACAAACTGTTAGCAAATCTAATGATTTTTCTAGAATTGTGTTTTGGTAGAAAATTTAAAATTATAAAACTAATGTTAATAAAATTCTCTCAAAAGATATTTTTAACTTTATCATATTATGATAAAATTAATGTTAATAAAATTAGACTAGTGATCGACTTAATTAAGGATAGGAGTCAAATTATTGGATCACTCATTAAACTAAATGAATCAATTTATATTATATAATATTTAAAGTTAATATATATTATTTGTATTGCATTTTAAACAAATAAAATGTCTTTCTCCTAATTTTCAAATTAATTATTTAATATTTATTTCATAAATCAACCAAATTAATTATCTTGATTATATGATTCATTTTCGTACAAAAATGATTTTTTTTTTTATAAAATTGAGTTGATATATAACAAGTTATTCGCTAAGCAATATTTGTATACCTATTATAGAATTTGAAATTATTGTACAAATTTTATTATAAAATTCTTATCATTTATAATTTAAATTTTGAAATAATACCAAGTAAAGAAACCACCCTAGAGTTAGATATATTTGTATAAAAAGTGGTTTTTTTGTACATCAAAACTATATATAACTAATATAACATCTAGATTAAGGAAAAAGTTTTATTTTACTACAGATTTTCCTTTTTACTTATACTAACAGATTCACATTGTAACATCGCAAATTTTATACAATAGTTAATTATTATTTTATATTTATGAAATTATTTTTTTATAGTTATTAATTAATTAAAGGAATTTTTTTTAGAAGATTTTAGATTTTTTAATAATAATTTAAATATTTATGAAAATTTTATTTTTTTTAATATGAAATTCTGTTTTTTTTTTCAGGCCCAGAACAGGCCGTTCCAAAAAGCGGAACGGCCTGTTCCTAAAAGCGGAACGGTCGTTCCAGATAAACAAAATGGCCTAAAATAATATGGAATCCCAAGTAGATCCATCTATTTTATAATATATTTAATTTTAAAAACAAAGAAAGAGAGGAGTAAGAACAATATCCAATAAATACAATAATTCAAAAGAATATACAAAATTATTTATAATCAATATTAAACATATATATATATATATATAAATATATATACAGATCATATATTATATTTTCATGATACAATAAAATTTGAATTATATTTGTAGTGACTAGTCAGGATAAATGAGCATCATCATAATATTAACTAATAAAATGATATTTCACCTTAACCAACAATAGGATATTTCACCTTCATTCTTTACTCATTTAAATCCCCAAGGTCAAACCTCCAGCTACAAATAATTCAAACTTTATCTTCTATGGTCATAGAACAATATTTATCTTCATAAATACGTGAAGAAATAACAACAAGACGAGTCCAAGATATCATAACTATATCATAGTTGATTATAAATATATTTACAATATATTTATGTAAAAAGAATATATTAAGAATATCAATGATATAAATAGAAATGACAATCATTATAAAATAATTAAACAATATAAAATATGAACACCTTAATAATTAATATGGATAAAAATAATCATAGATTAAGCAAATAAATGAGGTTAGGGACACCCCACTAAATAAATATACATAAAAAATAACAAATAAATATACATAATAGTATATAAAATTTTAAAAAGATAAGGTTCTCCTCCCCCTTACCTGGATAAGCAGGAACTAAAACTTGAGCAGAACTTCCCCTTCTGGATTTCCTCTTTCTTTCCCTCTATTTCTTTCTCTTTCTCTTTCTTTCTCTCTCTAAGATTTTCAACTTCTCACTCAATTATAAATTTTTTCACCCCCTGCCTCCTATTTATAGGCATCCTGGCATACCCGGAACGGCCCATACTGAATTCGGAACGGCCCGTTCCGGAACCTTCAAATATAGGCAAATTTTTCAACTGGAACGGCCCGTTCTAAAATCGGAACGGCCCGTTTTCAAAAAGCAGAACGGCCCGTTCTGAGGTTCATGTTTGCACTCATTGACCATTAGTAGAACGGCAGTTTCTACCTAAGTTTTTTAGGCATTTTTGCATTCTTGGAACGGGCCGTTTCACTTTGGGAACGGCCCGTTCTGAGATAAGAAAAGTAGGCCTTTCTACAAATTTGGAACGGCCCGTTCCACTTTTGGAACGACCCGTTCTGCTACTTCAAAATTGGTTAAATTTCATCATTTGGAACGACCCGTTCCACTTTTGGAACAGCCCGTTCCAGCCTAAAAAAAATAGAATTTTATAAAAATTTAATAAATAATTTAAATTATTAGAAATCTTTACAATATTTTATAAAACCCCTTTAATTAATTAAAATAACTATAAGGGAATAATCTTCACAAATACAAAAATAATAATTAACCATATAGGAAAATAATTTTCATAAATATAAAAATAATAATTAACCATTGTATAAAATTTGGGATGTTACAATTCTCCCCTCCTTTTAGAAATTTTGTCCCCGAAATTTTCTTGAAAATAGAAATAGGTATGCTCCTCGCATCTTTTCTAATTCTCATATAACCTTACTACCTTATTGATGTACAACTCTATCAATCTCTCCAAGAATTGTCTAATGTTAATAAGTACAAGGTGAGCAAACTTGGTAAGCCTATCCATTAACCAAATAAGATCAAATTTCTTAAGAATATCATACATAACTACAACTAAGTCCATAGATACAGAATCTTATTTCCAAATTAGGACGTCTAAAGGTTGCAATAAATCTGAAAGTTTTTTGTGTTCTACCTTAGCTTTCTGACATACTAAGCAAGCATACACAAATTCCTCCACTTCCTTCTTCATCTTAGGCCACCAAAACATCTTTTTAAGGTCTTGATACATCTTAGTGACTCCTGGATGGATACTGAGACTACTTCTATGACCTTCTTTTAGGATTGCTCTCTTAAGCTCTAGCACAACCTATTCTTAGATCTCAACATTCCATCCACTCCAAATCTAAACTCACTCTCCACACCTTGATTCAACTTCTCTACTTCTCTTTTCTCCTTAGGCCATGCTTCCGCTGCGCCTCTCTGATACATTTTAATATCTCCTAAATGAATACTAAAAGTACTTTTATGTTCTTCCTCTAAGATCATCTTCCTTAATTCGAGATTACTAGGCACATAGATTCTATCTTTGAATCTCAAAACACCATCAACATCCAAGCGTAAAGGCTATCTATACCTCTACCAATATTTTCCACTTGGCTCACTAAGAAAGGATTTAACTCCACGGTCCTCGAATCACATCTATTAATCTATTAGTCCTTTCAACATACTCAATTTAAGGCTCCTAAGGGTGAGCTCACACATCATGCTTAATTTTCTAATCTCCTCAATCAAATTCAACCCTTACATTATCAAAAATGATAGATGAATGATCATCCTACTTAAGGCATTTGTCACCATATTACTTTAATTTTTATGACTCTCTCCAAGGATCAAGTACTTAAGTGTAAGTTTACTAGGTACGTATAATTAATCTCTAAGTCTTACCACCCTATCTATACCAAAGGCAACCTCATATCTACTACCTTGTCTTATGGTCTCATGTCTTGCCATCAAAATGAATCAACTAATTATGTTTCTCTAATTTCCTTCAATAGTCCATTCTTTACTCGAGTCATACCTAGTCTCATACTACTAGGAATAGTTTCACAAGAAAAACTTAAATTTTTAATGTGAGCTAAAAGATACATCCCTTTAACCATAAGGGGAGATATATATAGAGGTTTCCTACTCAATGTATCGACCACTACATTAGCTTTTTCCAAATAACAACTAAGATTAAAATCTTAATCCTTAACAGTTTCCAACTATCTCTTCTGTCTCATATTCAACTCCTTTGGATCAAACAGATATGTAAGATCCTTATGATCACTAAATATTTCAAACTTAGAATCATACTAGTAATGTCTCCAAAATCTTAGGCATAAATATTACAACCTCTAATTCAAGGTCATGGGTAAGGTAATTTTCTCATGAATTTTTCATACCTAGATGCCTAGAAATATAAGCTACTACCTTTCTTTTTTGCATCAACAATTCACTCAAATCTGCCTTTGAAGCATCACTACATAACACATAACACTCACTAGAGTCTGGTAGTCTTAACACTAGTCAATCATTTCTTAAGAGTTTGAAAACTACTTTCACACTTACTATTCCATAAAAGCGACTCTCTCTTCTTGGTTAATCCAAACAAAAGTAATGTTATCTTATAAATTTCTTCAATAAATCTCCTATATTAATAAGTTATTGCAAGAAAGCTCTTAACCTCACTAATTGACTTATGTATCTCCCACTTAAACACAATTTCTACCATAGATAGATCTACATTATATCTCCACTAGAAATTACAAAACCTAGAAAATTCACTTCATACAATAGAAATTCATACTTAAATAGCTTGGCGTAAAGCTGTCTTGAATATATTTTCATCCTAAGTTTCAATACGATGATACCACATCCTAAGGTCAATCTTACTAGACACACCAATATTCATTAATTGATCCCTAAGATCATCTATCCACATATCAACATACATGCATATCAAATCATATTAGAATACCTACTTTAAATCTTCATATATACCATCCTTAAGCATGTATGAATCAATTATCGTTTACTCCGTATAGCCTGTACATGAACAACCTTTACGACATAACATCATACAACCTTAAAGAAACTTTTGATCCACAAGACAATACCTCAAAACATCATAATAAAATCGATTTCCTAATAACTCTCAAACATCATGATAATATATATATCCCTTTAACAACTATCAAAGAAAATGATACATAGG